GCCAGAACAACAGTGTAAGTCTCAACTGGATGGTTAAAACAATATTAACAGCGACAACAACAAAAAAGTGAATCAAACATAAATTTAGAAAGACGTTACCATTTAAAAAACTCTCAGAAAACTTGCACGATTTTCTTTTTACTTGAACCTTCTGAAAAGAAATTGCGACTCTCGTGATCTAGTCATCATGATGGATTACGTCTTAAATCTAATCTAATGATTTCCGCCCGCCAAAACTACCGGAGGGCATTTGTTCTCTAATTGTGGATGTATTAATTGTTATTAGAGATTATTATCTATTTTGCCAGCACATACGTTTTTAGTCAAAATGAGGGGCAAAGTAGCCTTAGGAAGTTGACAGGGCTTATTGTAGACAAAAGTTACACAATGTGATATTCCATACATCTTCATCATCGAAGAAATAGCGTTTTGGGAAAAGAGTCCCAATATTAAAGGAGGGCCTCGATGACGTGAGGGCTAGTATGACTAACGGCTAACGGTTAATTTCTTTCTATTGTTTTGAAAAGGAAAATTTTTACGGTTAATTTTTTTGCAGTCTTACGGCTGACGGGTAGCCCCATTGGGAACCTCTTGAAATTGTTGAAGCCGGATTGTCGCGAGCGTGATCGTCCGGTGAAATCACTCTAAAAAAGGGACTGTTATCAGGCGATAACTGGGACTGACGAATCGTCACCTGTGCGGAAGTCATTATCTTAGTCAAGTGGAGCTTACGAACCCAAAGTAAGCAGTTCCTTAATTACCGCCTGAGTGTTCAGCGCTCCACTTCAGTAAGTCTAGTAAGATTAAAGCTTTAGCCCTTCGTCAGAGCGATTGGAAGTTGACGATTGACGCTCAGACTAACACTCGAAACTCCAGCTTTTAAACTTACTACGGAGGTCAATTTACTTTATCAACTTAGTCAATAATATTAAATTACCCTGTTATACTCTCCCACCGACGCAGCACCACAGTTTTTTAGAAAATTACCCCCTTTATTCATGTTATAGATGTATTAAAGCTAATATGAGATCATTAATGCACTTGTACTTTAAGGATAAGTTTAATCCTTACGGCGCCATTAACTAAAATAAATTTTAATCTTTGGCTTATCCACATATCCCATAAGCCTCTTTTACGCAGAAAAGAATAGTTAATCTGCTTATGTTTTCAGATAGGTCGAGACAAGAACATTATTCTTCACGTAGACCTTACAATGTGGGTCAGCTTACGCTTACTGAAAACTGGAAGAGCTTGTTTGCGAGGAAAGCTCCAGTTTGGAAGATGGGAAGGAAACTGTACGAGGTGCAGGATGCGAAAAAAAGTGGACTGTAGTCCTTCTTTTTAAACGTACCTTTGGTCAGAATTAAAAAGGAGAGGGCGTCATAACTGCTACACACTATGTTACTATTATTACTCTATTGCCATATCAAAATTAACGAGTAGTGAAGGAAATCAAATTCTATTTCAAATTTATATTTTGTCACTTGAAATGTTAAAGTTGTGGTATTTTTTTTAAGAATAAAAACATCCTATTTTAGTTAAAAACACTCGCACAAACTTTTCCATTTTCTTTTTCCTTTCAGTGATACTTAAACACGCTTTGGATTTCCTGTACATCGCCTTTTCCTCGTTTTCACCTGTAACCACTTTTATCACCTCATATATTCAACCTAATTTGTCTTTTGAACACAGGAAGCATTCGTATTCGGTCGATGTTTTGCGGCGGCAACCAGACTGTCCTTCGCTAGCTAATCACCATCTTTATCAACTGTCCATTTGATTCACGTAATCTGAGTTTCACTCAGCTAACATGTAGTGGACCATTATCCAGAATAGTACGGACTTCTTATAGAGAAAAACTGAGAAAAAATTTAGTTGAAAGAAACACACGGTGTGGTCATCGACGAATGCGTGAGAAGCAAATTCAAACTTGTTATCACGCGATCGAAACCGCCAGCTAAGAAAGGGATATCGATCAATTTAATAGGATTACACAAAGACGCTTTTTTCCTTTTTTCAATAAAAGTTCGCAGGGGCTAGTTTCCGTACGTCGGAATATCTCAAATGATTAGGAACTCAACGTTTCCCGACCGTATTGTAGAAATTTTAGAAGTCATAGACATCTTGATCTTTTGAGCTGGTCGAGGTCCAATCGGAAGCATTCAGGATTATGCGATGGTCAAGATAACCGACGATGACTTCGATGACACGTCGGCGATCGTTTGCACCGGCTCGACTGCCTAGCTACAGTCCCGCGAGATTAAGAACCTGGTGCATGGGGCTGCTATCCCTTCCCCCCTAGCCTACCCCAGGATCTCATATCACCAGTCACTGTGTGCTATCAATATTATCCTCAGCTTTACTGCACCTT